GGCCATAATGATTTTTATACATCAATCAACAATTCAGAGAGAGAGAGAGAGAGAGAGAGAGAGAGAGAGAGAGAAAGCGAAGAGGGTAAAGAGAGAGAGACAGGGGGACAGACACACAGAAGGGCTTGAGAGAATATTTTGGCATGTACCATTATATAAAAAAATGTAATGTACATGACATTTGACATCATCCGTAATTTAAAAGTTTAAAAAATATGATAACATTAATAAGGGTGCCGTGTGAGGGAACCTTAATTAACTTATATCTATATGTATCTAAAATTCTTCGTCTCATAAGAATATAATCAATGCAAACAAATAACACTTTTTACCTGTAGCTAGCTTAGTGTTGACATCCCAGATCCTGCCATGTTTCTTTCCAGTCGCTATTTCATTAATACACATGTATGATGGCAACTGGTATTGCGACAGGGCACTAAAGTACTCAATTTCTGTTTAATCCGCGGTAGAAAATTACGCAGATTTTCTTGACTGTCACTATATGCCTTACATTTATATTAAGTACGCTTAGACAAAGAAGAAGGTATGATTTCCATACAAAAATTTTGCCCTGTGATTTTCTAAAAAATGAAACTGGTGTAAAAGTTGAAAACTCAAGCTTTTTAAATGATTGAAATTCAATGCAGAAAAATCATACAAGTCATTTTTCTCACATGTGTTTTTAAATGCTAATAATGACATCATAAACATGTGCATTAATTTTCCCGTATTTTCTTAAAAAGTTGCAGAAGACACCAATTTTCAGTGGAGTTTTCTTTCAGATAACATTGTCCACAGGCATCGCCCACAAAGATCTTGAGATATGTGATTTATTATTGAATTTCGCACAAGATATCAAAAAATTAACGTGGGCGACGGCTGTGGACACTGTTTTCTAAAGGAAAATCACCCTTCAAATGTGCTGTTTTGAGGCTTTTTCTGTTGAAAATATAGAAATGCTTCACATTAATGACGTCATATTTGCAGAATGGAGAACCTTAATGCCATATTCTTTGCTGATTTATCAGAGTCATTTATTTAACTAATATTTAATGCAGTTTCAAAACTTTTTGATGTCATTACATTTTAAGGGCGCAATAAAGCTAAAATCATACTTTCTTCTTTCCACGAATTATCTGTGACCGCGTACATTGCGCAAAATAATACCACGCGGAAAAAAGTACTTCTACAGTATTAAGATAATACAGATGACATGACTTTTTATTAAAAATAAATTTATTCCTTCTTTATTTCTGCTCAAATAATATATTAGTACAATAAATGACAATATGCAATAAAACTGTCTTCGAGATAATTATTATGGATTGAAGACACATACACTGTATATATATATGTAAACATGTCTACAAAAACAGTTTACCTTGTGTTTTTCGATCTGTGCATGATATATATACATTCATGTCCATCCTTTTCCCGATTTCAATATAAAAAAGGACATATCCCCTATAATATTACACCATACATGTGCACTCTTAAAAGTAACAATTAATACTGAATAATAAATATTTCTACGAGATAGATCAGGATGCAGCTAGTTAAATATGTCATTTCTAAAATTTATGTGATGATCAAAGCTAGAGAAGGGATTAAAGACATCAACTTTGTCTCATGTATCCTCATATAATGCAAATTGATTAAATGATTTTTACAAATCAATATGCATTACAGTAAATATTCTCTATCTTTAAAAAAAAAAAAAAAAAAAAAAAAAAAAAAAACTAATTATAATACTATTTAATACATTTATTTGATCTATGTTAGGATTTGCACTTCTTGCATGTACACATGTTGCGCAAACCGCTGACCTATACATAATTTATATCAGTTGATAATCAGAGAAATACCTTTCAAGAAAGCCCCCAATCCGTAAGTGATGATGCCAACACAACGGGACAGGTGTAATGGTATCACACACTTCACAAGACCGTAAGCCATCCTCTAAAACACTTAGCCCTCTCTCCAGTCTATGTCGGTGCGAGGCTGTGAGTTGTCAATTATGATATCGTCTGCGACATCAGAGAGTGTGCAGGGGGTAGAAACCGCATATCGTGAACGTTGGAAATAATTATGCTCAGAAAAAAATAGAAAATGTCGACCAGCGATCTTGTACACTGTGTAAAATATTATTAAGTTTTCTCTGTTGTCTTTGGCTTTTTAAACCGATGCCTCTTCTTTTGTTAACTCTACCTATTTGATGACGCCATTTGTTTGTTTCTCAAGTAAAAGTCGTAAAATGTAATCAATTAAAAAAACCCGTTAAAGAAAAAATCAATTAAAAAAACCCGTTAAAAAAAGTTTTATAATGAGTAAACATGTTTGTGAACAAAATTATGTTATATATTTTTATTGAAATCATTTTTTTTAAAAAACGACATCAGCGTCTTACGACAACCCGCTAAGTTGGAAGTTCCAGTTGCACGGAAGGTTGAAATCGTAACGTTCGAATCACCTTAATGAAGGTGATTTCTGTAAAATAAAAGAGTTGAATTTCAAAATTAATTATGATATGAAAATTCAAGTGAATTTTTATAACCACTTATACATATTCTGGATGCTAAGGCAATTTGATAATATTAGTTTTAAAATTTGATTTCTAATTTTTATAGTATTTATTTGTTTTAATATTTTATTTAAAAACAGTAATTATACTTTATTTATAATTAGAAATTTGTTCATTAAATTCTATTTCTTCCTCTGGATTACAGAAATATATAACTGGTGAGCAGCGAAAAATAAAATTTGTAAAAATATATTACGATCGATGGTTGTTTGTACACATCCAGTTGCTTTGTCACAAAACTTCCTCGGACAGTCACATTCGCCATCTAGACATCTTCTACCGTAGTATGGGTAATCACACACCCTTGTGCAATTTGCACCATTAAATCCGGGTGGACATGCTCATAAAATAGCGAATTGAAATGAGTCTTTTATATGTTTAAAATTCTAAAATTATGATTGTTGTTTAATGGATATACACATTCCATTTTATGTTCAATAACGTAATTAATCACGGAAATAAAGTATGTTACTCACGGACACATATGTTTTTAGCAACCAACATCTCATCTGCACAGCATGGTCCCAAAAGCCTTTTGAATTGATAGTAAATCAAAAAACCTTACAAGAGTTTGAAAGACCTGATTGTTGATAACTTATTACATGGATATTACTCTTTAGATTTTTTCCGATATATCCCAAAGTTGTAAAATTTTGAACAATCTTGAGGTAGAAGGTGAATAAAACTAGAGAACATTTTACAAATTAAACCATGTTGAACATTGACAGTAATGTATTAAACATTGGATAAAATAAAACTTGCAACGATATGTTTTTAGATATTATTTTTGTCCGAATCTTTGATAGTTTTTGTCAAGGATTGGGGATAAAAAAAAAACACATCAAAAACTACAAATTATTAGAATAATTAACAATATTTAACATTATCAAAATTGTCTTTGTTTGAAGATGTGCTATAGTAAAATATATAATATAAAGTGTACTTGTAAAGAGTGTTGTTAACGTTGGTAACGTCGATAATTAATATAATAGGTGTGATTTGTATTTCAAAGGCTTATATTTTTATTCATAAACAAAAAATAAGGAGGCGGGATTTTTTTTTCATTTAGAATTTATATACCTTCCCCTCATTTCTTACCCATCAAACCTTTAAATAAAACAGATAAATACGTATATTTTGTTTTATCTTAAAGAAACTTAAGTAAGTTAAACATATCTTTTTTCTCACATAATTGGAATTTACTTACCTATCACAAAAAGCGTTGACATTCCATTTTTGTAAAAGTGAAATAATTACAGACACTAAATAGAAATTTTTTTTCATTCTTTGATTGTTTGTTGATCAATAGATTGCGCTAAAAATTTAGTGTTGTTCTTGTTAATGAAAAAACCTCTTTCCTAAATAAAACAAAATCCTTAACTTCCCTATGCAATCTCCTTAAAATAGGACGCTTTGTATATATTAATTAAGCAAAAAAAAAATACTTTCCTTCCTGGTTTTTAAATTGCTGTGATAAATAAAGGATAAAATAGTTTATACCACCTCACAAGTTTTTAATTATATGCTTAAGCAATTGCAACAAAAATTTAGGAAATGTTGTTTAAAGTAATTATATGATTAAATAAACACAAAATTAATATAGAAAAACTCATATTCTATTTTTAATCGTTGCAAGAGAGTCCTAATCTAATTTTCAGAGAAAAAATATTCTGCACCATTTTTCTGATAAACAAAGTGAGATTTACATATTAACGTCCTGAATGTTTTGTTTATGAAAGCAAGTACGGATAAAAATACTCAAAAAGACATAAATAAACCAGGAAAGTTTTTAAAATTAACTTTATACAAAGCTTGAAAGGAGGAAATATAAATGTAAAAAAATCTTAAATAAAAAAAAAAAACAACAAAAAAACAAAAAAGAAATAAATAATCGAAATGCATACAAAAATGGCAGAAAAAAAATATGATCATCTTTGAAGGGGTCTTACACATCTGCATATTGGATTAATTGAAAGTCTTTTGAATGATTGAATTTGCTTTTGACTCTTTTGAAAACCTTTCACTTTCTTAAAAACCTAACAATATATATGCACTGGTAAATTCTTTAATTAAAATTTCCATCAATATTTTCGCGATAAAATTACGTTAGCAACATCGTCATAGTTTTTGTCTTGACTTTCTAATGTAAACGATGATTTCAAAGATTTATAGGATTTTCACTGTCGTTTGGAAACAAATATTGGTGCCCATTTTCTTGTATTATGTCGTAATGTTGACAGTAGCCAGTATTTACATATATTCTGTCCGTCTGCTCATAGGCATGTTCAAATTAAATTTGTCCGCTTTGCAATCCCTTGCTTTCTACAGGAAACATACCTAAACAACATGGTGTAGCATACTTATATGTAAATATTGCAATGCCAACAGAAGTGGAAGTATAATAATCGAACACAAAATATATGGAAATGAAAAAGTATTTTTATTTACAAGGTCAGTTTTATTACTCAGTAGCGATGTTAGAGTTTCGGTTAACGGAGGTGAAGATGAGAGTCCTTTTATCTTTTTTTGCATGAATATCTTTGTTAGTTCCAATATTCTCGTTGGATATCATTGCCGTTGTCTTTGTTTCCATTGATATTTGCTTTGTTTCTGAAATCATAATAATATATGCCTTTAATTAGCTATTTAAATAAATAAAAAAAAATTCAGATGCATTAATAAATCACAATTATTAGTGGTACGTCAGTCTGTTTAATATTGAATTCAACAGTTACAATTCCGGTATCAGTCAGCTCAAAAAGAGTCTAAAACTAAGGGATTGTTTTACCCGACTTTTGTTTTTTTCCTCCAACTTCCAGGGCTTTTATTTTTGTTTTACAATTATAGCTATATTAGAGATAAAGATTAATACGATGATCTAGCTTTATGCATTTGAAGAGGTGGAATGAAAAAAAAAACCAACCCATTACTGCAGTGTTCATCGACTTGTAGGATAAAATATTGGCCTCTTTTACGACTAATTACAAAATGTTCATGCATAATCGTTATTTAATTCTGAATCATTAAAAGGAGGAAAATCAATTTTTATTTATATAATTTTGATTGTTCATATCATGAATTATGCTTATAATTTGAAGTGCACTTTGGAAAATCTAACCATGAGTTCCTTGTTTAAATTTAACTCTTGCCATTTATATCCTTACCTCTTATTCTGTGACATGCTGGTGATATTTGACAAGATATTCGATTACATGCACACGTTCCCGTTAATCAGCGATATCCGTAGTAAGGGATGTCACATGTTAGGCTACAGTTAACGCAATAATGTCCAACAGGGCACTCTAAGTTAAAAAAAAATAATTAAGTCATTTTTGTAAGGAATCACTGAAAAGAATTGAAACAAGAAAAATGAAAAAAAGAAAATGAAAAAGCTGAAAAGGAAATAAATTAAACGCTTAAAGAAAGAAAATATTCAAGTTTACGAAAGAGGAACGATATATAAACTTATAGCTTAACCAGTTAAAATTACACACTTATCTGCAAAAGATTTGAAAAAAAAGCGGAAAACCGATAGACACAGGGACAGACGTGCAGATGCTGAGACAACATATAGGCCCATCCGTATTCATAATTAGGCATTAAAAAGGCATTGTAATTTTCACTTTGGGTATTGGAAAACAGATATTGAAATATATGATATGATTTGTAAAACAAGAGTACAACTATGTAGTTCATGCACATGTTAAGTACAAGAACCTGGTAAGTCTAAATTTGTTTGGAATTGATTAAGCAATCTATATAAGACACCGACAAATTGATATCTACTCCTGCATTTTTGAAGACTCTCGTCCCATTTTTCTCCAATTCAACATGGCCTGTGGTTGTAAATTCTGCAAAGATGATCAATACTGGACATAAGTTAAAGACATGTTTAAAAATATTTAAATAAATGATCAAATAGCACATCTTAAGCCAGTTATTTTGGAATGGGGAAAACTTTATGATTATATACATGTAGTATTACATATACGTATTAAACAGTTAAATAGTGCCAAATGAAAATATCGACGGATTTTTCAGATAAAAAATATATATTCTCGACAAGGATGAGCAATTCTTTTAAGGACTTTACTGATATCGGACAAAGTCAAAATGCGAGTCAAAATTACACACCAGGCTAGAACAAACTTTGAAATATGAGTTAAGAAATATTGTAGCCTTATTATTTAAATACTGGTTATGTATATTTTTGAAACCATTTGTTTAAAGCGACAGGTAAAAATCATAAAGATTATGTCATCAATATTTAATCCCTTTTTCGATGTAAAATATTGTAATTTAACATATTTTATTTTAAATATTTCCACTAGAAAATAATCGGAAAAAATGTCCATATACAAAGCGTGCAGGAAAATCAGAAAATGAAAAAAATAATAAACTTTCCAAAAAAAAAATGAAAAGAAAATTTTTTTTCTTTATACAAAAGAAAAACATCAAAATATATTTTCACACTCGTTAATAAATCCAATTTTCAAGTACAGATTAAGAATAAGTTGTAAAAAATATCCAAATAAAAACTTTGATAATGATCCAGTATAGTTTCTAAAGTATTAAATGTACCTACCAAGAACATTCATGATCAGAATTAACAAAAGAGCAATTCTCAATGCTTAAAAGTACTAAATATTGCAGTATTTCTTTCACTATTAGAACGTCCTGTATTTATCCTCATTTAAGTACTAGAGAATAATTTAGAATATATATGTATATAGATTACTATATTGCGTTACATTATTTACATGTAAGTATGTATTGTTTCCTCTTCGCAATCGAAGTTGTTTATATTTTAAAGCTCTTGAATATTCATATTGAAAAAACATCAAAAGCTGCTTAAAATTTTGATACTGTGAAAAATGGAAATAAGCTCACAAGTTCTACTTGATTCGATATTCAAGAAAATGATCTAATTAAAAAAAAAGAATTATAAAACGAATCAAAGTTTTGACAAATAATTTTTTGCAACATGGATATCAAGTATCTCGATTCATTGTTAATTAATTGTAGTCGAAGTGTGAAAATTATGTGAAAAGATGACGTGGATCATATGTGGTAGACATTGAACTCCAAAAATCAGATCAAGGATTTTCTCAATGTATAAATCCATTTGCAATATAAAGCTTTAGTAAACAAAGTTAACAAAGGCAAAACCAGCTGTTCAACGTATAGTTAAGTCAAAGACTCTGAAAAATCCAATTATAATAAAGCTTATGCAATAGTAAGGCGTCCGTCTTCCATCCGTATGTCAATCTAGTTGCCGTCTCACTGTGAACAATTTCTCAAAACGTTACTCCGCCTATAGTTTTTTTTTTGATTTCAATATAACTTGGCACACAAGTAGACTACACTAAGATACACAAATTAGTGCATCGGTTTTTGGTTTTGATGATCGATGTTGCCATGGTTACTAAAACAATAGAAACTTCTGTGGGATTCCTTTAAAATGCTACTCTCCCTACTGATTTGGTCTGATTTCAATATAACTTGGCACAATTTAGTTTATTGGTTTTTGGTTTTGATGAACGATGTTGCCATGATTACTAAAAATAGAATTTTTTTGTAAAATTCCGCTACTCCTCCTAAAATTTTGTTCTTATTTCAATATAACTTGACACAGAGGTAGACTACACCAAGATACATAATTTAGTGCATCAGTTTTATTGTAATGAACGGTGTTGTCAAGGCTGCTAAAAGTAGAAATTTCTATGAAATTTCTTCAAAATGTTATACCTACAATTTTGGTATGATTTCAACAAAAAAAAATCACTTAATTTTTAATCTTGGTCATATCTTTTGTATAAGAAAAGGGCTTATACCTAAGAAAAGGTATATTATGTAAGACAAGATCTTTCTATAAAAAAAAACCTTTGTCATGATTTTTGAATATGAAGAGAAAAGGCTTTCATATTAAAGGCATGTACTATCTGTGACAAGACCATTCCAAATATACTATGGATTTTTGATCTCGTTATCTTGAAGTTTGACCTACTCTTCAAAATTTTACCTTGGTCAAAACCTTTCAATGAGAAGACATAGGGCTTCCATGTTTAAAACATGTATTGCTTGAAAGTCACAAACGTTTAACGTTTGAGTAAAAAAAATATGTATGTACTAATATTGTAGATAATTTTTTTTACACTCTTCATTGATTTTTGTTATGTGAACATTTTCATTCAACATTTGACCCCGATTATAGGTCGTTACATTTTATCTAAAAGTATTTGTATACATTTTACCCAGATGCTTAGCCTTAGTACAAACTAGACCTTGCAAGAATCTAAGGTATCGCAGTTTAAATCAATGAATTATTATTATATTGTTTCTAATTATCCTTCCATCTTGCACAGTTTACGGAACTCACCCCTAGAGAAAATTATAAATATTTAGAAAAAAAAAGTGGAATGAGGGCAATTTCATTATAATTATTGTCCATAATATTTTTCAAGCTACATGTACTAATAAAAAAATAGACATTTGTACGTTTAAATTGAAACAGCATTAAACCAATCTATACATGCATGCAATAGGCATCATACATGTCTACATTTACAATGTTTCCTTTTTGCTTTTTCTTCTAAAAAGTAGACAACATTTTTTCCGGAAAATCTTAATAAAAAAGGATGGATTTTTTTAATGAAATGATATTTGATATACGTGTATCTTACATGAACCATGTAAATCTTTTTTTCAACATTTTTCATTCTACACTCATACAATCTAAGGGAAATGTGCTTTATTCTTATTTAACCATGCGTATCCAGGAGGATTAATAATTTTATCTGTATTTAGAAAGATTAGTTTATTTCAAATGACTTTCTGCTCATTTATATCTTTAAAACATCATTTTCATTCTTTGATAAGAACACAAATATCCATGCATACATGTAAATAAAACAAAAGTATTTCAAGGTTTTAACCATATCATTACGAAAATGTGTTGTTAATAAATTTTCTTATAATTTGTTTAATTTATGCAACATAAAAAATACTATGTAAAAACACAGTAATCATTTGCTCGTACTCTAGTTTTAGGTACTGATAATAAACAAAAATCAAAGCGTACAACAGAAAAAAACATCATAAAGGAAATAATACAAAACTGACAAACTGGGAGAACGTATATACCAGGGCAATACTTGAAGGGAAGTAATTTAAAACGAGAGGTAATATATGTTTAATTTTGAATATGTTAGAGCATACAAGTATGTTTTGTCTCCTGATTTTATGTTCTGCTTTTGGGATATTGGAAGTAGTTTCTCAAATAGAACCTCGAAGAGGGGTTTGCGGCTTTTCTGGGTATGTGAATTCAATCTTATGCGTGAATAATTAAAAGATAAAAGAAGCCAGTAATCTTTAACTAGAAGTACCTGAATAGATATACATGATAAATTACTATATGCATGTTTTAGACTTTTGTTTATGGTAACACCTATAAGAAACAACCAGAAAGTGTATAGAAATGAAAGACTATATCAAATAATCATGTCATCATCTTGTCTTTGCAGACAGAAAACAATTTATTGTGATGGTTACAAATGGAATGCGACAGCAAAAACATGTCAAGGTATATGAAACAATTGATTTTTACATGCATGTAAAAATTATGATATATGCAGAGATAACGAACAGTATTCAAGCTCAGGAGCCCATTACATATGATAAAATAGCAAACATCCAAAACACCAGAGATGGGATCAGTTGCCATGGTGTTTCTTTTTAGAAAAAAATTATTCTTATTTTTACCTTGTCAGTTTGTTTGAAATTGTCATTATTATTCACATTCATTTATTTATTCCAGAATGTAATCCTGGGTGCTTTGAGCGTAATTGTTCATCTCAATGTCCGTACCCTGCATATGGTAAAAACTGTCACCAAAAGTGATACTGTTACAGATCTTCATGTAGCCATATTCATGGATGTATCACATATGGTAATACCTTTCGTATAATGTGCATGTCACCTTCTTTCCTATGATTCATTTACAGTACTAGAACTTGTAGTAGTCTTACTGGGACAACATGACATTTTGTATAAAACAAAACATATCAATCTCAATCCGATTTTAACATAGGTCGCGGGTTTGCTGACGTCATTGAAACTTGGTACGCAATTTATATGATTTGGGCGACTTTCTTGTGCACATCTGATTATGACGTCACAACGAGAAATGGGAAAATTCAGTACTATTATCTAGCTAGTACTTTTGTTGAAATTTGTAGTTTTGTGTAATAGTATTCAAAGAACATGCTGAAGTTATAAAAATGAATCCTTATTTCGATTCGAATGACTAACACTGAAAAGTATTAGAAAGTGTTTCATTATGTGTTGTCAATCGCATCTTCTCAGGTATATTCTGAGAGCACATGCACTTGTTTTGGAAATAAATTTTAACCATTAGTTTAAGTTTAATTATAACACAGGGTATCTTACTCCGAATTACTTTCAGAGGAAATGCACTAACAAACTGTTAACTACTATTGTCTTCTATGATAATTTATCTGCATAAGCATACAAGGGTTGTTAGAAAAGTTCGCGGACACGTTGATTTACGGAAAATCTATTGTGTACTGTGAAGTGTGACATATGTCGGAATAATTTCCTACATTTTGTTTATTAGTATGTAAAAAAATCAGGTCCATTTACTAAAGTCAACAAAGATTTTTACTATTAGGTCATGTGATTCACGCCTTGACGTAAGGCGACATGACAAATCAGATTTCAACCCGTTAAATTTTTTTTCACAGTTCCATAAATCTTTCATTTCTTTAGATTTTCCTATAATAGTTTTTCTTCTTGAAAAATGATTATCTACATCAAGACATGTTACTATTCTA